AAGATACAAGAGAGGAAATCATTGAATTTGAGGGGACAGTTGTTTAAGGGTTCACTGAACAGCTATGCATTAGTGCAGGCTCTGCCAAATGCTAGGTCCAGAGTCTAAACTCCAAGTGGATTAAGCAATAAAGGACAACTTCTTGGGCTCATGTAAGTGGAAAGTCACACCTTATGGCTTCAGTTAGAGCTGGATCCAGGGGCTCAAACCATGTTTCCCTTTCCTCAGAGTATATGTTGAATTCAACCTGCAGAGAGTTTCCTCCAGAAGATCAATCCTGACAGCACTGGGCTTTCACTATCTCACTTAGTAACCCTCCGTGAAAAGTGCTCTTCTCTCTCCTCTCAGTAAGGAAGATTCTAATTGGTGTCGTTGGTCACAAGCTCTGCCTTTCACCAATTATTAAGGTTAGGAGGATGGAGGGGGATGGAGAACTTTGGCCACCCCTCACTGAAAGGCTGCAGTGACCTGAGCCTGCCACACGGGGTCACCCAAGCAGAGTTTTTAAGGTTGAATAGGAGTTTGCCAGTTGGGCCAGAGGAGAAAGACGGCACACAGAAAAGTCTAGAAAAGTCAGAAAGGGGTGAACCAGCACGCGATTTTATTCCTTCTCCCACCATCACGTTGATGCCGAGATACTTCATGTGCCCCAGCATCTGTGTTTACATCAGGTAGACTTTACCCTTGGCAGACAAGGCGTGGTTGGTCACCTCTATCCCATTGGCATATCCCTGTTGGCCACATACTAGTGTCCTTCACACATAGTAGACCTCACCAGCGCCCCTGTAAGCAACCGTAAGGCAGGGCTCGGAGATTAAATGCTACCCTGACTCTGGGGGGACCATCAGGAGGCACGGAGCTCTCAGGCTGTGTCAATGACATCCCCAGCTGACTGACACTCAGTTCCCTTCTGCATTGCCAGTTCATTGGTGGCCCCTACAGAGATCCTTTCCTCCCTGTCTCAGGTCTCTACCTGCAATGGGGGCTTCCTGGGATCACTCCCCAAAAACACTATGTGCTTTTGAATCCTTATCTCAGGTTCAGCTCTGTGGGAGAGGGGCCCCCAAACTTAAGGTCAACTGTTGGTCCAGAGCTACCAGGTGCTTGGCCCTTTATGCAGTCCACACAGCAACCCCTGGTTGGGAGAGATGACTTTAAGGAGAAGAGAAAGGAAAAACATGCCTGAGACACTCAGCTTTCACAGCAGAGCCAGGCACCCAGACACCTCTCCCCTCACCAGGTCCTGGAGGGGAGATTTTAGCACCCCTATCCTGTCTGGCAGGAAATGACTAGGCCAGTGGATTCCCATCTTCTGTCCAGGTCTCTAAGGCCTGATGCAGAGGATTCTTTTATTAAGAAGCTGAGCATCAAGGGTCCCCCAAGTCAGCTAAGACCTTTCATCTGGAAGAACCTGGCCCTGGATTTGATAAGAAAAGGGTATTAGGCCAGTGCTGACCCTCAGGAGACCTGGAGAAAGGTAGTTACCCGGGAAGGGCATCTATTGCTCATTTACAGGTCTGAAGGTCAAGGCAGAGGGAGGAAATCTCCATAGTCACCCAGCTGGGTCTCCTGGGAATTTAGGCTGTAGTCACAAGTGCTCACAAATGTGTGAAACTACATGCCAGGTCACCTAAAAGAGAACTATTCAAATACCTATGTACGTTCAAAGGAATCATAGCTAATACTTGATGTGGCAGCTTAAATAGTGTCTCTTAAAAAGATATGTTCTAACTTATCTTAGATAAATTCCAACATAACATAGATAACATAAATAGGTTCTAACCCCCACACCTGTGATTATGATTTTACTTGAAATAAAGTCTTTGCAGATGTAATTAAGGATCTCAAAATGAGATTATCCTGGATTTAAGGTGGGCCTAATAAGAAAAAGGAGAGGATGATTTTAGACACAGACGCACAGAGAAGAAAGCCAAGTGGAAACAGCAGCAGAGCTTGGTGTTTCTACAAACCAAGAACCTCCAGAAACTGGGAGAGAGGCATGAGATGCATTGCCTCCCAAAGTGTTCAGAACAATCAACTTTGCTGACATCTTGATTTCAGATTTCTATTATATATACATATATATATGACACAAAACACATTCTTACTGTTTTAAGCCACCAGTTTGTGGTAATTTATTATGGCAGCCCAAAGAAACGAATACATTTGCCTATTTTGTTTACCGTGTGCCTTCCCAATAGGCTCCTAACTCCTAAGCCTCAGGAAGGCCAGTTTTGTCTGGCTTGTTCACTTGTTTCCAGGAGCATGTAGGTGTTCAATATTTTGTTGCACGCCCGTGAATTAAGTGGCCCGTGTGTGCCAGATGCTGTTCTAAGTGCTTTTAAGCGGCTTGACCCGGTTCATCCTCTCTGCAACCTCCTAGAGCATACTACTACAGGGGGACAAACTGAGGCTCAGAGGGGCACAATATGGATTCCAAGCTACTGAAGACTGGCTTTGGATAAGGATCAACTACAATAATGAGAATCAGTAGAGTAGAAGCCCGAAAGGGAGACATTAGGTACATCCAAATAGCCACGGATACTCGAATTCTCCATTTGCGGATTAGAGGCAATAATTGGTTTTACCCACAGTGCGGAGCCCAAATCCGCGACAGTTTCACCTGCGCATGCGCTTTTGCCCTTAAATCCCTCCTGCGCCGGTGCACGTTGTTCCGCCCCCTTTTTCAGCACTTTACGGCTCTTTTGTTCTACCCCCAGGAACGCAGCCCACTCCGTCCCACGTGCCTAGCGGGCCCCGCCCTACTCAGCGTGGATTGGCTACCTGTCCCTTGAGCCCCGCGCTGGCTGGCTCTCGTCGCTGCCACTCCATTTCAGCTTAGTGGCGCGCGACGTGTGGCTACCAGCGGGCGCGTGAGTGGCGGCGGCGGCGGCGGCGGCGGAAGTGGCCGGCAAGCCGAGTCCCCGCTGGCACCATGGTGAGGACATGGCGAAGGCGTGTTTTCGCCGGGAAACGGGGCATGCAGCTGTTGAGGGCCCTCGGGGCGGGTGCTGGGACAGGGGCGACGCGAAACAAGCGTGCAGTCCGGACTTCCAGTCCTGCCCCCCTCCGGCTGACGCAGGGAAACTGAACCTGGAGACGACAAGGGGCACCCACAGGGCACCCAGCACGTGGCTTTTGGGGGACTTAGGGTTGGACGAACGTGTAATCTTATAGCGGCCTGGCGCAGTCTTCCATTTTGCAGACGGAGAACCTGAGGCCAGAGAGGGAGGGGACCCTCCTAAAAGCCCAGTGAATGCAAGAGAGTTTTCGGGGAGGGAAGTGGCTCCGAGTGCATCTCACCCAGTCTAGATTTATTGAAAAGCTGGAGCACCAGGAAAAGGGGGGGGGGCCTTGTGAGGTCTCAAGCCAGTTTTGGTAATTTCAGAGCACGCAAGGCCCTTAGGATGACCGCACAGCCTGCTGTGCCTTTCATGTTCAGGCTGAAAAACAGACCCAGAGAAGAGGTTTGCTTCTCTCCGGATCACACAGCATGTCTTTCCAGGGGGAGAAGAAGGCATTTTGAGCTAGGAGTGGACTAACTGTGCCCTCCCAGTTAATAGAAGGAAAAATTGAGGTCACTACAAGATGCCTGCCCAGGACCATGCTGGTCACAGGTTGTGGAAGTTTGGGGTCTAGGCCAGGGAGGCCCACACAGGTAGAGCTGGGCTCCTGGGAGAGCGCCTGGTCCGTTAGCACCCAAGTCACTCCGAGGCGGTTTGGTGCTGCGTGTTTCTCAAGAGAACGAACATTCGTGTTACTGAAGGAAGGTTCGCACTAAATCCTGCCTGCCGGTGCAGGGTTAGAGAGAAGGGACCGGGTTCCTGTCTGCCAGAGGGCAGAACTGGCCTGCAGGTATGGACAGAACCGGAAGGATCCGCTTTGTTAAGCTCCTTGGAGGCAGGATCCTTGTTTTTAAACCTGATACATTCCCAGAGCCTAGAAGAGTGCCTGTGTAAAGTACAGGTTGATTTCTTCAGCCTGGGGAGTGTCCAGGGGCGGACAAGGCATGACATACTCACAGTATCGCCTGTGATCAGGGCAGGACCGGAAGGGGGGGTCCATGACAGCTTCCTGAACTGGGGAGCTTAGGAAATGCAGTCTAGTCCTGGACTGGTCTAGACCTTGAGAACCAGACCACAGACATTCTAAGAAAGTCCGGGGAAAGGAATTCTCTTCCTGAACGTTTTATAACTCCTTTGGTCCCTTCAGGCATCTTCTTCTTCCCCACCAATTTTCAAATTCTCGGGGAACCCCCAGGCCCCCTTCCTCTCACCTCAGTCACCAGCAGTTTGTGGATGAGGATAAAGAAGATGGCAAGATAAGGCCACTGCTCACTCCGCTACAGCCTGGCTGCTGTGTGCGCTTCCCTGTGTGTATGCAGCAAATACTTACTGAGTTCCTCTCCTGTGCCCTGCACTAAGCTTGGCACTGAATAAAGTCCACACCCTCTGAATTTTCCAGTCTAGCCAGGGAGACGTAATAAACAGGATAATTAGAGATTATCTATGTCCTATAATGGAAACAGCAGAAGGTGGCCCAGGTGGAAACCTCATTTCCAAGATTGGGATTATTAGGAGGGCCTGGCTATGCGAAGTGACGGTTGAGCAGCCACAGCCTGGGGAAAGGTATCCCAGGCAGAGGGAGCTTTGGGGACAAAGGTTGGGCAGCAGGACCAGGCATGGCAAGTGAGGAACAGAGTTGAGCCAGTTGGGCTGGAGCCCTGTCAGTCCTGGCCTGTGGCCCGCCTGGGAAGTGGGTGTGCAGGGAAGTCAGGTGTCAGGAGAAGGTGCTGGTCCCATTTGTGTCTCAGACGTCCTCCACGCTGCTTCATGGGTAGGACACTGCTGGCAGCAGCCGAGGAGGCTTTTGCTCCTCCGGGGCTGTGTTGCCTGTCACTGGGAGGAGGGAGGAGATGGCCTGAGGGGGGCTGTCACCGTATAGCTGTGTATGCCATAAAAGGACACCTTTGGGTCCCCTGCTGACAGGTATCCACCTACTGTGACTGACTTTACCAGGACCGTGCTGCGCACGCCCCATGCAGGTCCCTCCCGATCTGGCCACTGGACCCTCATCTAGAGGCGCCTTAGCTGTGCTGCTCTGAGACCTCCCTCTGCTCTCAGCACTGAATCCGGTTCATTTTCACCTTCTCGGGCCAGCCTGGCCTGCTTCCCTCTCCGGTAATCTGGGAGGAGGACTGAAGTGAGTCATTGCCCTGGCTCAGATTCCCTTTGTGGACAACAGAAAACAGGCTTGCCCAGGGAAGTTGGTGGCTTCTCCATAGTAAAAGGCGACCTGAGCACATGGCCCCATGTGTGAGCATGAGCCTCCTGGTTTTTTTTGGTGGCTTGAGTGCAGTGTCACACAGATGCATCCCAAATAAGAGGGCAGGGGCTCGGGCTGGCCACAGCAGGGCCCCTGCCTACCCGCCTGCTCTCCTCGGAGCAGCCACCCTTCTCCACGTGGCCCCTTCTTCCTCCTTATCTTTCCTTTCCAGGAAACCAGTCCAGGAAGTGGGCTTGGGTCTGGCTTCCTGATGGCACTGGACCTCCCCCTGGGCAGCTTTTCTCAAGAAAAGCCTGTAGGATGTGAGATTCCCCCACCCTGATCCCCTCATGGGGAGTCACCCTGCAGGGGTTGAGGGCCATTTCCAGCCTCCACACAAAGAGGAGGCCTTCCAATCCCCACCACCTGGAAAAGCGGCTGTTCCCGATCAGAGCGTGAAGGCAGGCTGGGGCTCCCCTGCGGAGGCCATCTGGGAGGCAGGCCAGCTTCCAAGTTCCAAAGTCACCAGAGCAAGATTCAGCGAAACTGAAGTCACCACTGAAGCAGTTTCTGGTCTGCTGGGTCGTCCCCCTACAAATTTCATCTAGCCGGGCTGGATGGGCTCCTGTGTCACTGGACCCGGGACCCAAGGACTGCCAGCCGCCCGAGCAACCCTTCTGGATCCCCAGGCAGGCCCAGTGTGTGGGTCATGATTTGTGTTCCCGAAAGAAAAAGTGTTGGGGGATTTTCCCAGTTAACACTATATGTTATCAAAAAGAAACTCAGTAATGATGGAAAAAAATCTCTTGAAAGCTCACCTTATCTGGGTGAGTTCTCAAAGATTCCATCCTTTATCTGCTACCACTTGGGAGTAACCACAGACTCTTTCTGGAATGTTTCTCGCCCTCTTCTAGTGAATTTCTCTCTTTAAAAACCCAGCTCAGACATGGTTGCCTCAGCTCCAGGCTGACTCCCACCTGAGCCTGGCAGGGTCACTTGGTCCAGTCACGGCTGCCCTCTGAAGTGTGGTCTCAGCATGAACTGGCTGCAGACAGACAGGGTCAAACCAGGCTCTGTTCTGTCTCTTACTAACCCTGAGGTGCCGGGCAAGTTCTTGGATGTCTAAGCCTTGATATCCCCATCTGTAAAGTGTGTCATGATAACCAAATACAAAGCTGAGAAAAGATACAGAGATATGTGTAGTCAACGTGGATGCATCTCAGAGACATCAGTTGAGCAAAAGATGCAAACAGCAGCAGGACCTGTATGCTGTGAACCTGTGATGAGTATGGAGGGCTGCGTCTTGTCCCGCTGGGTGTGACTATATGCAGCTTGAGTTACAAGGAAAAGCCGGAAATGGTCAGCCCCAAAACCAGAGAGCTGCTGTCTCAGATCAGAGTTGGGTTTCAAGAATTCGTTTCCTAAACTGGGAAGCAGTGTATGTCCCAGGATTAGGCAGAGTCAGGAGAGTGCATTTGCTGTTGCGGCTAATGAATGGGCCCTCTTGGATCCCCCCACCACGATGATGAGCCAGCGGATTCATGGGACTGGAGCCCCAGCCCTCCCTGGCTTTGGTCAAAACAGTCGAGTCATGGGCCTTTGTTTTCCTTTCAGCTTCCCTTGTCCCTGCTGAAGACAGCTCAGAATCATCCCATGGTGAGTACTGCGGGTCTACCGTGGCGAGTTGTGGCGGGCTTCCCTTGCCTCAGAACAGGGTCACGGGCAGAGGGCAAGGTGCCTCCAGCCAGACATGCTTCCTGCCTGTCCACGAAACAGCAGCTTCTCCCTCCCACACGTCAAGACCTGTGTCAGTTCTGCTGCTCATAAAAATAATACATGCTAATTAAAAATGCCAAACACTAGAGATACAAAGTAGAAGCTCCTCTCCTTTATCTTCCCAGCAATTTAACTAATTCTTAGATGCATGTCTATACTTTCAATGTGTTTGTAAATAAGAATGTGATTTTTAAAAGTACAGGTGAGATCACATGACAGTGCATTATTCCTTAAATGATTTTGTCTTTAATGGTACAGTGTGGTGTCAATATTTCTGGTTGTTTTTTTTTAATTTCCTTATTTAGGTATAATTCACATAACATACGATTCAACCTTTTATAATTCAGAGCACTATTGCATTCATGATGTGCAACCACCACCTCTCTAGTTCCAGAACATTCCCATCACCCCAAAAGCAGACCCTGTCCCCATGAGCAGTCACTCCCCATCTCCCTCGCCCGTGGCACCCACAGATCTGCTTCTGTCTCTATGGATGTGCCTATTCTGGGCGTTTCCTGTACATGGGCTCACACACTGTGTGACCTCTTGTGTCTGGCTTCTCACTCAGCGTATTTTTGAGATTCATCCGCACTGTAGCGTGAGTCAGGGCTTCATTGCTTTTTACTGCCAAATGATATTTTGTTGTATGGATGGACCACCTTGTGTTGATGTGTTTGTCTGTTGATGATGGACATTTGGGTGGTTTCTCCTTCCTGTTTGTGAATGTTCGGGCTACCATTTGCACTCTTTTGCGTGGGTTTATGCCTTTGTTTCTCTTGCACAGGTACCTGAGTTGATTGTTTTTTAAAATCTCAGCCTTTCCTAGCAATAGCGTATCTTCAGAGTGATGTGCTACTTAAAGTGTTTTCCCCCAAACATGTTAAAATAGATGAGTAATTATTGCAAGAAAGACAGCATTTCCAAACCACCAAAGCTCACACATGTGCAGTCAAAAGGCATGTACCTAGACCAGCTCAGGTGTGCTTGCCTGGCCCTGTGTGTTGTCTGTAAGAGGCCACTGGGGCCTGGGTGCTGCAGGCTGGGGCCGTGTTCCGAGAGGAGTAGAGGGTGTATCTGAATGAGGCTTGGGCGGTGGCCTCACTCGGGTAGGGCGACACCTCCCTTGGGGCCACAGCTGATTTGGGGTCCGTTTCTTTCCAGCTGGTGGAGCTCAAGAATGGAGAGACGTACAATGGGCACCTGGTGAGCTGTGACAACTGGATGAACATTAACCTGCGGGAGGTGATCTGCACGTCCAGGGTGAGTGCCCTGCACCCCAAGCCTGTGTGCACTGCCCAGGGGCCCTGGGGTTGGGGGAAGGGAGGACCTGGGACTGAAGGCCCCACCCTGGGCCTTGTGGGAAGACTGGGGCAGGTTGTAGCTCAGCCTACCACAGCCCATCCTGCTAGGGGTGGGGCTAGGGGCAGGGCCGGGCCTTGCTGGGCGTAAAGGGGGCAGAGGGACTAGACTCCCAGGTCTCCTGGTGCCCTGGACTTTGCACTTGTGGTGACTTGGCACCTGTCGGGGATGCTGCCCCATCCCCCCACACCTGTGCTCCCCTCACCAGGAAGGACTTAGGTCTGGGGGGGCGCTTCTGGCTACAAATGCCTGCTGCATAGGTGTGGGGTGGCCTCCGCCGCCTCTGCTGCCGAGAGTTGTCAGTCCCGGCTGTGGAAATCACCCGCTGTGGAAATCACCCGCTGTGCAGGCTGTAATGGTGTAGCTGTAGGGTGTCCGGGCCACCAGGGGGCAGGGGCAGCCCTGTGGACCTGAGCACCGGGAAGTTTGTTTACCTCTGGAGGCCTAAAAGTAGGAAGTGCAGGGCCAGCTGGAGGGCAGTTTCCCAGGGCCATAGGCCCTCCCCAGCCTCAGGATGACCTGAGGATGAAGATGGGGGTGAAGTGAAGGCAGGACTCCCTTCCACCAACCTGCACTGGGCTCTGCTAGAGCCTCCTTCCTGCCTTGATTCCCCCTTGTGTCCATCCCCTGACCGGCCCCAGCCCCTCCATGTTATAGGGGCAGAAGCCTCTGGGGAGCCCAGCTGGGACGGGGGTGCTTGGCGTCCACAGGCAGCATGCCCCTGGGGCTTGGCTTGCCAGAATATAGCAGAGTGCCAGTCTGGCCCCGTTTCCCCCATCCCCCTGGACAGTCCACACCTTGATGGGCAGACAGGTGGGCACGCCCCTCTCCCAACCTGTGCAGCGCTGCTCTGCTTGTTGTGCCTCTTGATGGTCAGCGTGGAGGCACTCCACGCCCGCCCTCCGGAAGCTTCCTCCTAGTTTTCATACTGTACTCTGGTCACGGGCATCTGGGCAGTTCCAGGGTGTCTGCAGCAGACAGTGCCGTAGTGCAGGGCACAGCCAGTAGGTCTGCTCACTTCTGGGGTCTGCAACCAACCAGCCACCAGGTCTTGGGGCGAGGTCAGCCTGGCCTCGGAGGTCAGCAGAGACCCGCCAGGTGGGTCTTGAGCAGCCCGCTCCCATGACCTGGTGGTTGGGAGAGAGGCTGGTGTGAGGAGTGACGTCAGCATCCTCACCTATAAGCAGGTGGCGGCATCTCCTCCCTCGGAAGGTGGGTAGCAAGATGCAGAGACCTACCGGAGAGCCAGGTTTGGGTGGGTGGTGGTTAGCTTGGGCCAGTCAGCCATGGCCATGGCCGTGGAAAGCAGAGTAAGCTCTGGTCCCGCAAGGAGCGTGCTGTGCCTGGCCTGTCCTCGGCGAAGGGAAAGCCTTGTGCTGAGCAGCCAGCCCCAGCCCCAGCCCTGAGCTTCCACAGAATACATTTCTGTCTGACTGTATTTTGCATCCCTCACAGACTTGGCCCCTTGCCTACCCAGTCTGGGAAAGGAATGTCCCAAGACCTTGAGGGGCTCCTGTTTGTGTTGGGGGCTCATATGTGCTCCTGGGAAGAGTCAGTCTTCGAACATTCCACTCATCTCCTCCAGACCAGCCTGTCCCAGGCTCTGAGGACAAGTGTCATTCTGAGGCCTGAGGGTCTCAAGAAGGCCTGGGAGGCAAGGCCTGTCAAGGGCAGGAGTTAGCCAGACATGGAAAGGCAAGAACAGCCTGCACAAAGTGCTGGGGGCAAGAAGCCAGCTGCATGTGTTCCAGAAAGGTCCATCTGTAAGGCGTGTCAAGGGCCGGGAGAGAGCAGCCAGGGTGGGGCTGGGGTTGGGCCCTTGGGAGCCCCGCTGAGGAGTATGTGTCCTGTTCTTAGGCCAAGGGGGCCCCGACTGGGTTCTAAGCAGGGAGGTGCCTTGGTCTGATTTCTTGGGCTGCAGGGGATGGAGACTGCTGCCCAGGCTTTTGGCTCAGGCCAGTGGCGGGTGGGGCTGGAGAGCTAATCTGATGGAAGAGGCCCAGGGCCCCTGCCCAAGGGCAGAAGGAGGGGCTGTGGGGGGAAGGCCTCATTCGGGTTCCATAGCAACACAGGCTTGGCATGGCTTGGGAGTCTGCGACTTTGCAAGCCCCCTCTTCTCTCCAGCACAAAAGACCTTTCCTGAGAGCTGGCATCTGGGCGCTGCCCCTGCCGGCCTTGGGACCCACCTCCACACCTAGCTCAGACCCTTTCAGGAGAAACTGGGATGCGTGAATGAGTCAAGGCCTGTGGGGAGGTTTAGAGGGTAGGCTCTGCAAGGCTGGGGCTGCGGAGACTGGGCTGTGGTAACGCCTGGTATGTGGGCAGCCTTGCCCTTCTCTGGGCTTCAGAGTGCAGGTAACAAGCCCATCCCACACTGGAGGGCAGCCGAGGCTGAGGAGGCTGTGTCACGTGGCCCTTCTAGTGTGGGCAGGCTCACCGAGGGTCTGGAGGGATCCCGCTCAGGGCAGCCCCTCCCCATGTGCGGTCCGGGACTGAGCTTTGTAGCCTACAGGGGTGGCACCCTGTGCAGGCAGCCTAGAACCTCAGCCCGGGTGGGAATGGGGGTGTGAGGGGACAGGTGCCTCCCCAGCTGTCTGCACCCATTCTGCAGGGCACCCACCTCACCACCATCCCCACACGCACAGGATGGGGACAAGTTCTGGCGGATGCCTGAGTGCTACATCCGAGGCAGCACCATCAAGTACCTGCGCATCCCCGACGAGATCATCGACATGGTCAAGGAGGAGGTGGTGGCCAAGGGCCGCGGCCGCGGTGGCCTGCAGCAGCAGAAACAGCAGAAGGGCCGAGGCATGGGGGGCACTGGGCGAGGTAGGCCTGCCATCCCCTCCCCTGGGGCTGGACCGCAGAGGCTGCTGGGGGGACTGCAGCATGTGGTGTCCACCCTGCTCAGTGTTGGCATTCTTGGCCATCATGGTGCCAAGGGGCTTGGCTCTCAGCCCCCCTCCTTAGAGCTGGGGGCTGTGACCCGCAGTGTTCCTTGGAGTGGCTGAGGCTGCTCTTTGCTGCCTGTCTGCCCCACAACCCAGCCTGGGAAGCCTGGCTGAGTCCTGGTGGGCAGTTCTGGTTCCCCTTCCTGCCCAGCAGTGGTCCCGCTGCTCTCTCAGCCCCGGGAGAAGCCCAGTGGACTGACCCAGCGCTCTCATGGACCTGGGACTCAAGCCCTTGTCTCCATTCCCGCCTGTCTCCTGGCAGGTGCTCTGGGAATGGGGTGCCTCCCAGATCCTTGGTGGCCCTCTACAGAGGACCGAGCAGTGCCTGCCTCACCAGGCTGCTGGCAAGGAACCCACCAGCCTGGCATGGGACACTTCCCTTCTGTCATTCCTTTATACAACCTGGGGTTGCACCTTTTTGATGGACTTCCTGCTCTGACCCCAATAACTGCCCTGAGATGATAAATCTGGCATAAGATTCAGTTTGTTTTGCAGTCAGCTGGGACTCGAGCCCAGAGGCTGTCTGCTGAGCCCCAGCTCCCCCAGCTCCTGCTCCTGGAGACACCTGGCTTTGTCCCTTCCGCTACAGGGGCCTCCTGTGTGCCAGACCTGGGTCCCACCCTAGGGGCTTGCAGGCAGGGCTAGGGAGGACCCCGGATCAGGGGCTCACGTGACAGTGTAGAGTGAGCCAGAGGGACGAGGGCATGAGGGTTGCTGAGGCCCAGGGATGAGCAGTGCCCCCCGGGCTTGAGACCTGTCCCATACTCGAGACCCAGGCTCCTCGCCCGGTGGGCACACTGGTGAATGAGTTGCCTGGAGGACAGGGAGGACCAATGGAGTGGCTTTCTGGGGCCACTCTGAAGAGAGGGCCACAGGCCCTCAGCAGCTGGGAGATCTCCCAGGGGCCCCCATGTGGTGGAGCTCCGCCCCGCCCTGTGAGAGGTCAGGCTGCAGCTCCTCCCAGCATAGCCTCTGTCCCCTCAGGGCTGGCTGCATGTTTGGCAGAAAAGGGACTGTGCAGGTTTCCATGTCCCGAGGCTGCCCTGGCTCTTTGGGGACCTCCTTGGGTGGCAGCGGGCCTACCCTCGACTCCCTGGTTCCTGCCTCACCCCTGCGGTGCTACATGATCCCACTGCTGGCTGGCAGAGTTCAGAGGTCAGGGAGCTCCTGCACACACACAAACCTCTAATCGTTTCTCTCCTGGGCCTGTGGATGTTTGCGGAGCCAGAGCAAAGGAGGCTGGGGTCCTCCAGTGCCTCAGAGTTTGGGGTCTCTGCCTCTGTCCTGGCTTGTGCCTCCTGAAAGGCCTTCTGGCTTTGTTGTTCCAAAGACTGACCCCCCATCCCACTCTGGCCCAGCCCCAGTCCCAGGAAGTCTACCCTAAGCCCGTGTGTCTTGGTGCTGACATCTGTTCTCCCTAGCGTCCCTCCTGTCCCTTGGAAGGCCTGGTCTTGTCCCTTGTCATCCTGAGAATGAACGTTTTCGAGAACCCCCCACCCCATGCCTGGCTCTGTTGTCTGCCCTCCCCATTAGAGGAATGGACACCACCCCCACTTTTCAGAGGGGAACCTTGAGGCTCAGAGGGGTTGATGACTTGGCCAGAGTGGGAGGGTTCTGGGCCCCAGTCCAGTCCCCAGCCCACTCCCTGAGCCCAGCCCCACTGCAGCTGCCCCGGTCTGTCCCACAGGTGTGTTCGGCGGCCGGGGCCGCGGCGGAATCCCGGCCACAGGCAGAGGTCAGCCGGAAAAGAAGCCAGGCAGACAGACAGGCAAACAGTGACGCGCCCCTGTGTCCCCAGAGACTGCGCTGCCGCTGAGCATCTGTTTCCACCGTCTAGGTCACAAGTCTGTTCAGAACGAAAAGAAGAGGCAGGTGGCGGCGGAGAGTCCCCACCTGCCACTTGTGAGCATCCTCTTTTCTGAAAAGCCCCTTTCCTTTGTATAGTCAGCAGTTCTACAGGTGGAAATCTTTCAGTATTTTTGGTTTTGTGAAGTCACGGCCACCGTGGTTCCTGGAAGATTCTGTGTTTAATGTGTCCTTAAAGCCCTTTCCCTTGTTTTAAGGGCAGGCATTCTCCAAACAGCTTCGTTTTGCATTTTATGTTGGATCCGTGTGTGACCAGTGAGGGAAGCTTTATTTTAAGCTGTTTACACTGAGACTGACAGCCTTGGGAATTTCCAGAAACATGGACCCCAGAATTGCCTTTTCAAAACAAATAGGGATGAATGTGTTCCTCAGAAGCTGTTCCAGAGACATCGCTGGGCCCTGCCCCTTTACCCCCTTCTCTCTCTTACAAAAATAAAAACATAAAACCACAAACTGCAAATCTATAATTCCTCTTGAGCCATTGGGAGTATCTAGACTGTGGCATCCTTGGGAAATCACAGCCCCACGAGAGGGTTTGGGGACTGTGACCTGTTGCGCCAAGGGGAAGTGTTTCTACAGGACACTGCCTCCGTGTCCCTTGATGTCTGTTGTGAAAGGCGAGACCCACGTCAGGGCTGTCTGTAACTCCTTGGGATTGTTGAAGCTGTGGAGAGGCAGCGGAGGGAGATGCCCAGTGGGAGCCTGCATGCCTGGGTGACACCCACACAGCCCGGGCTGCCACCTAACCTTCCACTTTCTCTCCCGTTTTGTGGAGGACGTGGGGGGAGGAGAGGGGCTGTGACAGGCAGTTGCCTCCAGGGATGCACCAGGAAGATGTCCGGAGGTCCTGCCCCGTCCATCACCTGGCTGCGCCCTGGTGATGTGCCTGAGACACTGAGCCACAGCACTTCGGCAATGTTTCCGTGACGTGCCTGGGGACCGACTTTCCAACTGAAGGGAACCGCAGGGATGGCCCAGTGCTGGGAGGTAACACCAGGCCCATGCCCCTGTAGGCTCTGTTCAGACCGGTTCTGAGGGATGATTAGAAAAAAATGCATTGTTGCCCAGGAGACAGCTTGCAGGATCCACAAAGTGCCGGTGAGTGTTCTTACAGTTCTGCCACATAGTATTTCAGGTTTCTCAGCTGGAACTCCAGAATGTGGTCCTCCCGACCCCCACCCTGTCACTGGGAACCCTCGTGGGATCTGCTGCAGCCTGAATCCTCCCTGTCTAGTGAAAAAGCTTTTAGGCGCAGGGTGGGGGTGGGGGTGGGGTCCTGTAAAGCCTAGACCTACAGAACCCTCGTCAGGAATCTAGGCGATGGTCCAGAGCAGGGGGGAGGGGGCGGGGCCGTTGTTGGCAGCCCCTTCCCCCCACCCTCCCAGGGTCCCTGCCCGGCGTGGTCTCCAACCATCTGGCAGGGCTTCGCTGAAATCTGGGGTCAGGTGTCCAGCGCGGCTGCCCAAGGGGGAGCCCTACGGCGTGCCTGCCCCGCCCCGCCCTTCCCTGCTCCTGGCCGTTTGGATTCTCCTCCCCTTCCGAGCTAGCAAACCAGAAGGTGTTCAGACGGCCCAGGGTCGGGGCGCGCCCCGAGGCGGCGTGCGTAATCGCGGCTCCCCGCGCATGCCAGCCAGCCCTGACCTTTCAGCCGGGCTGCCCGGCCCGCCGCCCGCCCGTGACGTGAGCCGCCTCCCTCTCGGCCACGGCCGCCTAGGTGCTGCGGCTTCCAGAAGCTTCCGTCCTCCCGAGCGGGCTGTCGGGACAACCCCGTGTTTCAAACTTCTTCCTGGCTGGTCAAGAAGCCACGCTCAGCCTCCTCAACAAGAAGAGAAACCAAAAGAAACGGCCTAGTTCCTAAACGCAGAGCCTGATCTTTCTGCCGGGCTGACAGCCTGTGGGCCAGGTCCGAGCCAGGTCAGCTGACCAGTGCGTGACTCGGTCTGCAGGCCTCAGCTTCAAATGTAGGTGGTTCCCGTTTCCCACGGTCCAGGGACCTCCCCTGTCCCCGCCGGGATTTTGCTCCAGCTCCTTCCAGGGTGGCACAGGCTCCCGACGTGTGACTCAGCCTGGGCCAGCCTTGATGACCCTGCTGCCTGCACCTGGGGCCCATAGCCCATTTTGGGGACATGGATGCAGTGGGTGGCCTTAAGTACCAGCTGTGCAGGGCAGCAGTGGAGAGCATCTCTGTTACTTTTCTGCTTTACCGCTGCCCACATACACCTCTGTTGGGCCTCATATGCTGGTCCAAGAGCAGCTCCACTGGGCAGCTCCCCTGCCCTGGGTGCACTGCCCCCACCTCCTCTGGGTGGGTGCGATGGCCGATGTCCTCCCTATCCATCCAACAGGACCCTGCGGCTCAGCATGTCCTGGCATAAGCAGCATGTGTGTACCCAATGGCTCAGCATGGGCCCGGTGCCCTCTGCTGACACAACAGGCTGCTTGGCCAGTGGGGGATTATGGGAGATGACCTGGTGTCACTCAGGGAACCTAAGTGGGAGGGAGAAGCTGCTCACAACAACAGAGCAAAGGGCTGACGTGGGGGTGGAGGAACTGGGGTCCCAGCCCCGTCACAGGCCCTAGAGACTCAGCCTCGGATTAGGCAGAGAGCCCTATCTATCCCTGTGGCCTTTATCTTCTACAGGTGTGACCTGGCAACAAGCAAGCCCGATGTATAAAAGCAGAGAAGAAAGCAAGGATGAAGAAGAGGGATGCATGGTCAATGCAGGCCAGGGGATGACATTCAAGAAAAGGACTTGAGGGGGACAAGGGAGACCGCCACCTGGGAGAATAGCGTTCCAGACCAGGGAACAGCCTATGCAAAGGTCCTGCACAGAGAGGTTATAGAAGCAAAGTGAGGGGACAGGAAATGGGGTGGAGGCAGGCCCTGAGCGAGATGGGAAGCCACAGAGAGTTCAGGAACAAACTGAGACAAGGGTAGAGGTCGAGAGAGCAGAAGGATGCCTTGCTGGATACTCAGCCCAGGATGGAGGCCACAGAGGCGGCAGGAGAGGGGTCAAGGGTGCTGGGAGAACCCAGGCACATGGGCCCTTCATTCTGCAGGAAGCCCGGGACTTTGGGGTGGGACCTTTCCACAGCGTAGAAGGGGAGGCCTTACTGAGGGTCCTTGGTCAACTCTTATCCCACAGTATGAGAAGCCACGGGCCTCAGGAAGGAGCAGGGAACAGTGGAGGGAACCTCAGGAGCAAAGTACCTAAACTTCCGTGGCCTGTTTGGGGAGGGCAGAGAGGAGGATGGGGGCCATCAGACCCGGGCACATGGTCATAATGTTAACAGCCTGGCGTGTGCCAGCAGCCTCCGTGGGAGCGAGCAGAGAGTGAGCCGGACGCCGCCGGGTCGCACAGCTCCAGAGCCTCCTCAGAGCTCTTCCCTCTGTTGGACTTGGAGGATATGTTTACCTTTCTCAATTCAGCTACTCCTACTCAGGAACCGGGAATGGGTTGGGGTGGGGCAAGTGAGGTCAGCTGCTGCTTTAAAATTCACTCCTTTAACTGTCATCTCAGCTGAGAAACAAGTTCCAGGCCCATAAAGTGCGCGGCAAGTTTAGCCCCACTGCACCTCTATTTGCTTGCCAGGCAGCAGGACAATAGTGGACTCCACTTCACGGAGGTCATTTTGATGATTCCATGAGGGGGGACGTCCTGGTATACAGCAAGCACTCCATACATGCTTGAACACTTGTAAGAGTGGCACTTCACCTAGCCCCCACAGAGTATCTGAAACCTCACCCAGGACTCTCGTCATCCCTAGAAGCCGTGGGGGGTCAGTGCGATCGGCTCGTTGTCCCTGGGGGACTGGGTGGCACACTGTGGGCAGCAGCCAGGCCACTGTCCTCTTGTTGCTGGACAGCTGCGTCAGAGGTAGTCTCTCCCTGCACATTAGGCGAAACCCCAACCCAGACACACAGGGTTCGTGACTCCGATTGAGAAAGAATTCTCAACTAGGTCGGAAGAGCATAGGTAAGGAAGGAAATCATGAAAGCGAGAGGAGTAATGAATGGCAGCAGGTGTGCAGGCAGTGGAGCGCCAGGAAGAACAGAGGGAAGAAAGGGAAGCTCACTGAACTCCTGCTCTGGGTAGGGCAAGTCCCTTGCCATCTCATACAGCGAGGATCACCCCGGTGTCCAGTGTCCGCTTGAATCTGCAGGGCATAGGAACTAAGCCCCTATGACCCCAAGGTTTGGGGGAGCCACAGAGCACAGGCTGGAGTGAGTTTTATGTTCTGAGAACTTCCATTCTCTACTGGTCTGAAATAAAGCAGAGGGAGAAAAGGATGGTGTTAAGCCTAGAAAGCTGAAGGAAACGGCAGTGGCAAAACATTTGCCACCAGAGGTGGAGGTTGGAGAGTTCTTGTCTTTATCATGGAAAAGAAGTCAGAGACAAGTGCAATCGGCTTGTGCAACAAGAAAGTTTATTTGATATGACACAGTATACACGTAGATGGGAGTACGGAGACCTCAGAGAGGAGGTGTGCTTAAGGGTTTAGGGTTTGGGGTTTTATAGGGCCTTTTGGGTAGGGGTCAGCATAAGGCATCATGTATACAGGTGATTCATAATTTCTTTGAACCTTTGTCATAAGAATAGGGTTCTCTAGGTGACTGTGTTGATCTAGATCTTGGCACTCTTTATCCACACAGGTTCATTTTTACACTTGGGAGGTCTATCTCCTGTCCTGGTTACAAAGTTACTTAATTGACTAAGGGTCTGGAAGAAAAGGAAGAAGAGCATATAGACGAAGTTAAAGAATAAGCAGAGCTGACCCTAAGAATGCAGTTTCCCAGTCTCAAAAAGACCTATGCGCCCCTATGTTTATCGCAGCACTATTTACAATAGCCAAGAAATGGAAGCAACCTAAGTGTCCCTCAGTAGATGAATGGATAAAGAAGATGTGGTGCATATACACAATGGAATATTATTCAGCCATAGGAAGAAAACGAATCCTACCATTTGCAACAACATGGACGGAGCTAGAGGGTATTACGCTCAGTGAAATAAGCCAGGCGGAGAAAGACAAGCACCGAATGATTTCACTCGTGTGGAGCATAAGAACAAAGCAAAAACTGAAGGAACAGAACAGCCGCAGACGCACAGAACCCAAGAATGGACTGACAGTTACCAAAGGGAAAGGGACTGGTGGGGGTGTGTGTGTGTGAAGGGGAATAAGGGGCATTACAATCAGCACACATAATGTAGGGGGGACACGGGGAGGGCTGTACAACACAGAGAAGACAAGCAGTGGCTCTACAGCATGTTACTACACTGATGGACAGTGACTGTAATGGGGTACATGGTGAGGACTAGATAATGGGGGGAATCTAGTAACCACAATGTTGCTTGTGATTGTATATTAATGATACCAAAATAAAAATAATAAAATAAGAAAAGCAGCAGAGCCTTTTTCACAGGCTAAGTAGGTTTTAGAATGGCATGACCTTTGTCCCATTGCCCTGCGCTGTCTCACTCTGTGCCCAGAGGCCAGCGCCAGACACCTGGCCCAGGCAGGTGAGCGGTCACCTTGCAGGCCTCCAGTCCTGCCCTAAGCCCCCTTCCACTCTGGGCCAGGCCACCCAGAGGTGACTCACCCCCACCCTACCTCTGCTGAAACCAGGCACCGAAATAATCACCCAGCTCACTCTCGGGAGTGGCCGTGGAAATATTTCAAAGCTGCATTCAGTGCCTAAAAATACTCAACACGGCCTCGTGCACCTTCCCTCTCTCATTTCCTTCTCTGTTCCCTTGAAAACTGTCCCCATAAGCACCCTCTGGAGACTCTCCTCCCTCCACATGGCATCCCTCCCACACATAAACATCCCTGGCAAGCAGGACTCAGGGGGGCGGGTCCCCAAGCACCTGAGTGCACGTGGGGGGCTGCATGGAGTTGCTTAGACTCAGACACAGTATCCCCAGAAGTTTTCGGAAGTGTGGCCCTTTCCACAACCTCCAGAAGTCTTGGTTCCTGGAGAGGGGTCCAGGGCACAGTAACGCTGCCTGGGAAACCTTTATGACTCAGCAATTTTCCTTAAAAATTAGAAAATGGTTCTTATGTTCATGAGGTGGCCAGAAGCAGGACAAGCCCCCCAGCTGGACTGAATCCCATCACTCCCCAGCACACACTTCCTCCAGGACCCTGCATGGATTGTAGGTCCTTCTCCCTGCTCCTAGGGGGCAGGGACAGGGGGACAAACTGACCCTCCAAGGCACCCAGATGTTCTCAGTGTCATCCTTAACCACCAAGCACCTTGACTTTTTCAGTGGCTGAGGAAGGGGGAGGGAGGGGCTAAGGGCTTGGCCCACTGGGGTCTGATCCAGTTTCTCAAGTTACCTGAAGTCTCCAGCTAGTTGGGGCAGCAGGTGCAAAGGCCCTGGGGCAGGGGCACACTGGTCATCTTGGAGATGCAGCGAGGTGGTCATTATTAACTAAAGTCTAGATGTTCTTCAGATTTTGTTATTTTTTTACCCAAGGCCCTTTTTTTATTATTACTGAGATAAGATTCACTAACATAAAATGAGCTGTTTCAAACTGAACAATTCAGTGACATTTAGTACCTTCATAATACCGTGTAACCACCACTTCTGTCTAATTCCATAACATTCCCATCAACTCAAGGAGACCCCCGTCCCCAAGAGCAGTCACTCCCCCTCCCCAAGTCCCTGGCACTGACCTGCTTTCTGTCTCTATGGATTTGCCTGTTCTGGGTGTTTCATATACACGGGATCATATGCTATGTGGCCTTTTTGTGTCTGGCTTCTTGCATTCAGCATGATGTTTTCAAGGTTCATCCACGTTGTAGTGTGTGTCAGGGCTTCATTCGTTTTATGGCTGAGTCCTGTTTTATTGTATGGATGGACCACATTGTGTTCATCCTTTATCAGCTCTTGGACATTAGGCCTGTCTTAAGGAAGTGTTTGTTGAGTGTTTGCCTTTACCCTGCACCAAGTCCAGTCCTAAGTGTTTAATCCCTGCCCCACCTGCTCCAGGAGGTGGCATTGTGACCACCATGCCCGTTTGTCCATTTCACAGTGGGAGAAATGAAGACAGACATAGGCAGGCCACTGAAGGACACCACAGGCCATCTCTTAGATCTTTGTATTCTGGAGATGGTGCTTGAGACAGATAATAAGGAAACTAAGAATTAAACAAGATAAATGCCAGCTGAAGACCCTAAGGGTTTCCAGGCAAGAACAGTAAGTGCAAAGGTCCTGAGGCAGGAATTAAGTTGGTGTGTTGGAAGAAATGCTCACTTCATAAGACAAGGCCTGGCCCCCTCCCAGGCAGAAACCAGAGACCCTCCCTACACTGGCTCTCCAACCCCACCCAGCCCCTCTCTTGGTCCCCTCACCCCAGGTTTGACTGCAAGCTTAGCAGGGAGGGGGGTGGCTTACTCATGGGAAAGAGGGGCTCAAGGGAATAGGGAAAAGTGGGCATCGTGGTCCTTGAGTGTTGGTGTGGCTGGAGTAGAACAAGTGATGGGGAAAGAGGAAAGGGTGGTGGTCAGCTGCTTTGGGATCTGGGGAGTGTGGGGGAGGGACTGGGCTGTACTCCGAAAGACTGAAAGTTACAGGAAGAGAAGGAGACAGACTGGGAGCGGAAGGGAGAACAGGGGCCTCAGTCTCTCAAGGCCTGGGCACAAGGGGCTGCAGAGACCTTGTCCTTCCCGACATCCTCCTAGCCCAGACCTCTGATACCCTGCTGAATGAACCAGCAGGGGACTACTGGGAGAATAGCATGAGCATACACTAGGTGCTCCATAAATGTTGAGGGGATGGGTAAAAGGAGGGAGGAAAACCTGGCACCCAGATCAATGTGATGAGAACAGCATTGCCCACCTTCCAGCAGATGGTTGGATGGAGGTTGGTGGAGGAACTTATCTGGTGCCCCCTGAGTCTCACCACCCCCTTCTCCAGTCTCAGAAGATGCCTCCAGAGTGGAGGCTGCAAGGAGGGGGTTGGGCAGGGTGCTGTGAGCACAGGGGCAGGACTGCTGGGTACCAGATGCTGCTACCTGCCTCTGCCTCTGAGTCAGCATCACCATGGCAACAAGGGCCTTGCCAGATGCTCTTCTGGGCACATCCCCCATCTCCCAGCCACCTTCCCAGCCTCCTCCTCACAGAGGGCCAGGGCAGAAGGGGCAGCTGTTTTTACCCGGGCTGCGGGCAACACTCAAGGGGTGCCCACTTTTCCCTATTCCCTTGAGCCCCTCTTTCCCATGAGGGATGCCACCCCCCTCCCTGCTAAGTTTGCAGTCAAACCTGGGGTGAGGGGGCCAAGAGAGGGGCTGGGTGGGGTTGGAGAGCCAGCGTAGGGAGGGTCTCTCTGGGTTCTGCCTGGGAGGAGGCCAGGCCTTGTCTTATGAAGTGAGCACTGCAGGTGGGAGAACACCACGGGCAAGGGCTGGTAGCTCCGTGGGCTGAAGCAGGGAGCCACAGAAGGTGTGGGGAGGCCAAGGTGGTACTCAGAGGGCAGAAGACCGGTTCCTGTGACTCCGGGCAGTCCTAAGGCACCTGAGTCTCCCCTGTCTCCTCGGGAGCATGTGCACCGGTGGGGACACTGAGGCAGGGAGAGTTGTCAGGGGCTCAACCTGGGCTGGCAAGGACTATAACCCCCACCTCAGCTGCTAATGACTTAGGAACCCCCGTGATTTCCCCCACTCTACTTTCCCCTATTTCTCTTCTTATCATACTCTAGGCTTCTTCCTTGATGCTTCTCTGACATACTGTGTATCCCTACCTCAGGGCCTTTGCACATGCAATTCCAGCTTTAAGGAACACTCTTCCCTGTGCTCATTCATGGTGCCTCCTTGGTCTGCAGATGAAGCCCCCCTAAAGATATCTTCATAGCTCTTGTCACTCTCTGAGGTAATTTTTTCAGTTGTTCCCACAAGAATGTGGGCCCCTTTCAGAGCCTCAGGGTACCCAGCTTGACAATGGCAGTGGTTGGAGAGGGGAGGAAAGGCGGAGCCAAGCAGTGAAATGCTGGTGTCTGGGTCCTCTCTGCTTGATCCAGAGGAGCAGGGACCGGGTGGGGACTTGGGGTGACCCACAGCATTCTGGGGAGGGTGGAACTGTCAAGAGTCAGTGGGCCGTGCGTGAGCCAGGCCAGGGTCCTGCGGACCTCCAGCTCCCAAGGTGGCTTGTGGGTCCCCCTATCAGCACACTGCGACCTTTGCCCCAGGGCCCCTGGGTGTCTGGCTGTCTCTGGGCCGCTCCACTGGACTTTTCCTCCCTCGCATGCCTGCTCCAACTCCCTCCGTCTCTGCCTTTCTTCCTTTATCTCGAAGTCACTCTCCCCCTTTGCTCTCTGCTCTTTCCCCGCTCCTATCAGGAGAACGTAATTAATCCGGCCTTGCCTGGAACCATGGGACCGGCCCTTTAACCACGACCTACCCATTCATCAAATGGGCCTGTCCCAGGGCCTGAAGTCTTGGGCCTAGGCGGGGGGTGGTGGGGTGTGTGTGGTTGGTTCCGCAGCAGACGCCCCTGCGCGGGGCGGCCCTTAAGGGCTTGGCGAGGAAGGGGTTAACCGCGTGCCGCCCCTCCCTCCCCCAAGCCCTGCATTTAATTAGCGGCCCCGCGGGGCTGCGGGGCCGGGCGAATTGGGGGAAGGAAAGGAGAAAGGAGGGGAGGGGCTGCGGGAAGAGATGAGGGGGGTGGGGGGTGAAGTGGAGGGAGAGAGGGTCGAGAGGGGGTGGATTGGTGCGGAGGAGGGGGGGAGGGCCCGGGAACCAGCCGGGGAGTAGAATCCCGCCTCGCTGGTGTACTCCACGTCATCTCTGGGCTCTCGGTTCTCTCCCCCAACCCTCCGAGTGGGCCCCTCGCCCCGCCCCCGCGTCCCCAAGGCCTAGCACCGCATCTGCACTAAATGTCAGCTCTCTCCCCATCATCCGGCTGAGAAAACTGAGGCCCACATAGATGCGGCGACTTGCCAGGACACCGCTCTGCCTATGTGGACGGTGTTACAGGTATTTTACTACGTGCTGGCAACCAAACCGAAAGTCCAACTTCGTCGCAACCGAGCGGCCTTGGAGGATGCAGCGCCGTGGGCGACGGCGAGCGAGCGACCGGGGGCGCGCGCCTGGAGCCCGGGGACCCAGGTTCAGGCCCAGCCACGCCTCGCCGCTCTCCGTGCCTCGGTTTCCCTCCCCACCACCACACCCGCTGCCTCCACCTCTGCGTGGGCCACGGGCCTCGCGGCCCGAGCGTCCGCGGCTCCGCAGCCCCGCCTCGCTTTGACGTCTGAGCTGACGCCCCCCGCCCCCCTCGCCACCGGCCCCGGGCGGCTGTGCGGGGTTGACCAGCCACCACTCGCGCGCAGGCCCTCGAGACCCTTTCCTCCCTCTGTAGCCCCCGCCAGCGGAAGGGCCAGGCCTGGGGGACCGACCTGGGCCCGGCCTTAAGCAGGCCCACCCGCCAGTCGAAGGGGGAGGCCCCAACTAGCTTCCAGGCCTGTCCGGATCCCTTCCCTCCGCCTGGAATGTGCCTCCTCCCCACCCCAAGTCCATGTTTACTGCGGCATCCCTCCCTCCGGCCCGGCCCTGACCCCTCCGGGGCTGGGCGTGTCCGTGTCCGGCTCGGTCTCCCTACCCCGGGATGGGGTGGGGGTGCTCCTCAGGCCCGCGGGGGGGGGGGCCTCTCATTAAGAAATCATTGTTCAACTTTGAATTTCTTCCCCCCATTTTTCAGATGAGAACCAGGGAAGCACAGAGAAGTCACCTAACCAGGGGCCGCGCTGCCCGGGCCGAACCCCAGCTCTTGGGGCTCCCCGGGCTCCCCGCCCCCACCCTTGCGTAGGGGCCCTATTCTCGCTGCGGGGTAGGGACCTGGCAGGCCCCGCCCTGCCCCAGGGGAAGTGAGAATGAGAGGCCCTCCCTCGCATCCTCACCACTTCCTCCCGGGAGCCGTGGCTGTGAGAGGGGGCTGGGGAGGAGAGGGGAGGCCTGCAGGGGTGGCAGTTCTGGGGAGCGAGCAGCTCAGGTTCAGAGGGGGGTTGGTGGTCTCTCTGCCGCACGTCATGCAGGGCCTGGCGTTTATGTGCCTTATTTGCCTGGGGCCCCCCAAACCTATTCCTTCCTCGGGGCCCCTTCCTAATCTACTGAGTCTCTGCCTGCGCCTTGCCACCCCTGGTAGGCCTGCCACCTTCTCCCTGCTCCCCGTGCTGCCTACCTCACCCCCATTCAATCTACTCCACACTGGGGCCCAGATCCTTTTTCGTGGCACCCACCAAGTGCTGGTCTACAAAGCCCTTCAAGTCTGAGATCCAGCAGGCCTCTGTACCAGCCTCCCTGTCCTGCATCTCACAGCTGCCAGCAAGGCCGCCTGGATTCCAATCCGCCCTCCAAAGATGTGGAGCACGTGGAGCCCTACTTTGACTGGAGCCTCAGTTTGTCTATCTGAAAAATGGGAACAGACATCCCTCCTTGAGATGCAGCTGTGGGGGTTTATGGAAACTTGTAGAGCTTGGATTTCCCATCTTGGCAGCATGGATGCATCTCCACATTCATCAATTCACTTATTCCTTAATTACTTCACTAACTCATCCATTATATTATTCACTCATTTGTTCATTTACTTATTCACTCACTCACTGATGCACCCATCTGCTACTCCCCAATCCCTAGGCAGCTTGGGAAGGACGTCAGAGGCCACAGGACCATGGGTAGGGACAGCCCCAGGGTCTTTAAGCAGAAACAACAGCTTCCATTTAACTGAACCAATACCCGGAAGCCTCCCCAGAGAAGGCTCAGTTGGGGTACCACCCCCAACCGGCTGCTGTCTGCCACACCACTTCCGTCTGTCCCCCAAGAAATGGGCCAGTACCTCAAAGAGCCTTGGGAGGATGCTGGCTGATAACAGGAAAAGCCCATATATAGTTGATATATAGAGACGAGGCACATTACTGAGGCTGACCGTATGCTGGGGCCTCCAGGGACAGGAACACCGAGTGGGTCCCTGTGGCCCCTCCTGTGCTCTTCTTGACTTGGCTTAATGCTTTCTGAACATTTGGACATTCCCAGTCCAGGCCTGGCCCAGAGTGTCCCTGGGAAGGAAATGCCTGGGTTTCACTCCAATTTAATCGTTTTTCAGTTTTTTTTTTTTTGTATTTATGGCAAGGGAAACTAGTTATCCATTCCTGGTGGTGACATGGAGGTTCCCTTTTGAAATATATTTAATGAAGCCAACACAGAAAAGGGGAGCAAACTAAAAGAAAAATAGTGATATCGCTCTGAAGCGTGCTTCTTCATTTTGGCGGTTGTTTCCTGTCCATGATAAATGATGGCAGAAAACCCTCACCCAGCACACAGGGCCGGGCACACAGTAGGTGCCCAACAGAAGAGATGAATGAGGGTGCTTGAGACTGGCCAAAAGCAAAAAAACAAAACAATACAAATACACTTCTGAAATTAGTGAAGAACTCAACATCTTCTGCCTCCAACGTCTACCTGTGAAAGGGCGTAATCTGGGTCTGGATACACAGCACGTGCACATTGAATGTACACTGGATGAGCTCAGGGGTCCTTCTCATCCTGCGGGGTGGAGGAGGGTGGTACGCGAAATTGTTTTCTGCCTGCGCAGGAGCCCTGCCCAACTCACTTTGGACAGTCGATCAATCAACAAGCACTGGACTGAGCAGCTCTTCCGGGCCTGCTGGGGGCTGGGGACAGTGCAGCCTCGGGGAGTAAAAGACAGGGCCACCGGTCGTAAAGCGGGCTCTGCCAGGTGTCAATCTGGTTCCATCAGTGCTGAAGGGGGCTGACGCCGCGCCAATTTCCTTCTCTGTAAATTGGTCCTGTTAGACTGGAAAGGGCGGGTGCCAGCCCAGAGGGAAGGGCCTGGGTCCCTGCCGACGGCCAAACACCTGCACTGGACCGGGGAGGTGGCTGCGGTTCCCGCTCCAGGCTGGGGCGGAAGCAGCGCAGGAGGGGAGGGGCGGGTACTGCCGCCTTTGCCGGTAACCTGATCCTTAGGAATGCGCAAGGGCCAGACACGCCCCCAGACCGAGGTCGGCGCCCCTTCCCCGGCCGCCCAGCGCGGTCCTGCCACCCGGGGACAGTCCCCCGCACAAGCCCCATCCACCCCGGTGGGGTCCTGAGTGCCAGTAGGGGGACCATCCCTAGCAACGTCACCCCCCAGAGGCTCCCTCTGTCTCAGCCCTTTATGCTTCCTTCTTAATTCCTTTTTTCTCTTTGGACTTTCTGTTTTATCAAGTTGATTTTAAGTGTCTGGGTTTTCAAATAAAGACTAAACTTTAAACCGAGTTGCAGCCTGCCTTAATTAAAGGAGAAAGCACATCTCTTCCCGCTGGGGAGAGGCCAGAACGGGGTAGATTTGAACCTGGAGGCAAGAGTTGGGTGGGTCAGACACAGCCTCCGCTGGGAAAGCAGGGTGGGGTGGAGAACCAGCTGACTTCTTATCAGGCTTGGGCTGTGTGATCCCAGGAGATCGAGGGCCCTCTCTGGACGATGCTCTAGGAGAAGTAGGACAACGTGCTGGGAGAATAAAGGCAAAAATGCAGAATCCAGGGCTAAGCCCTATTACCTACCCCTCCTTCACTCCCATCTTCCACCACCACTTATGCAGCCCTTGGAATAAATACCAGCTGGGTGTTAGTGGAGGCCCTGCCAGCTTTGCTTCCCTGGGCTCACCCAACCCAGCTCCACCTGCCTCTCTGCCTTGCATGTCCATGTGGCCAGTTGGCTTCCTCCACAGGGCTTTTGCACATGCTGTTACCACTATCTGGGATGCTCTGTTCTCATATTATCTCACGATTTGCTCCAGGGCCTTCTTCATTCAACATCAACTCCTGGTGCCCCTGCCCTCTAAAGCAACCCTCTCTCCACAACCCATGGAGGGGGCACCATTTATTCTCCTGACAAGCTATGCTTGTCAGGTTCCTCCTTCAGATTCTGTGCTGGGAAAATGGGAATGTTTGTCTCTATCAGCTCACAGTACTTGCTCAAAGTATGTGGATGAATGAATGAATGGGTTATCCCTAATTCATTGCATGAGGCTTGTTGATGGACTTAGGACCCTCTCTGAGCTGCCTGAGGAACCCCAGTGTTGGGGACAGAATTGGATACAGGCACCCCCCAACTCTGTGAGCTCAGGCTTGGTTCAAATGGAGAGGTAGTATTGGGGTATCCCAGAGGGCTCCCTGCCTGGGAGGAGAGGGTAAAGAAGGGCACTTGGTCAGTGTGTAATATTCTACCTTATGTAGATTTCATCAAGAGGGACTAGCAAGTGCACAGCAGAGGAGCCTGAAGGGGCCAGGCCTAGGAAAGTGGGGTTGGCAGGGTCTGCCAAAGGCAAGTCCCCATACTTAGAGGGCAAAACAGATCTTCCCGCCAACCCCAAGGACCCTCCCCTCCCCCATCTGGGGCAGACAGAGCCAGGCACATATGGTGGACGGGGCTCAGCCAGATGGAGGGGTCTAGGGGAGTCCCTGGGGTTGTAGTTAAGGAAGGCTTCTGGGAGGAGGAAATATTGGAGTGGGGTTTGAAAGATGAATAGGAATTTGCAGCCCAAGGAAGGGTGCTCCAGGCTGAGGCTACTCCAGACCAAAGTACAGCAGTTAACTTCATTCAAATGATAATAAAGTAAAACAATTACAGAAAACATTTATTGAGCCTTTACAACTTCTTCAAATCCAATGAAAATCACAATATTCCATGAGGTAGATAGGATTATTCACTTGATTTTCATGAGGAAGAAACTGAAACTCAGAGAGGTAATATGCCTTGGCCTCCCCGTTTTTCCATTTCCCAAGAATTATCTGCAGGTCAATCTTTCAGATCAGGCTGGCTCTGCCTACAGTTCACCATACCACATCCGCACCCATCAAGGTCAAGGTACAAGGTCAGGGTGGAGCCTCCCTAGGCAGCCCACTCCCCCTGCTGCCTTGCATGGCCGCATTTCCCCCAGTCTAGCCCCACTGGGTAGGCCCAGGGCCCAAGGCAGGACTGACTATAGGCTGGGGGCTGCATCCCTTCTATCAGGGATCCATTTGCCCAGGGGCAGGTCTGGAGGACACAGGCCAGGCCTCTTCCTCATGGTGACAGCCTCCCTCATGGCCTTCTTGCTCCAGAGCTCAGTTAGCAGCAGGGCCAGGTGAGGAAGTAAGGTCCAGGACAGGGTACTTACGCCCACAGACCAGTCAGACAAATTGATGCCAGAGACTGCCACAACATGGCAGGGCAGCGTTCTTCTTCAACAGAGAGTGCCCACTCTCTGTTACCTGTGCTGTATGCTGGGACACAGCAGGCCCAGGACAGACAAGGTCCCTGCTCTCCTGGGACTTAGGGACCATGCCTTCTTTCTAGATGGTTTCAAGGATACCACGGGAATAAAGTGAGTGGGACAGGCCTCTCTGAAGACGCATCTTTGTACTGGAGGAAAGGAGCACCAGGCAGACAACATAGCACATGCAAAGGCCCTGAGGCAGCAATAACCTCAGAAGCCAAAATTCAGCAAGGGTGGGGGTGAAAGGTCAGAGAGGGTCAGTTAGCGTTTATGGCCTCCACCATCTGGCTGAGGAGTGGGCTCCATCCTGAGTGTGGTGGTGGCCATGCAGGGGCTGTGTGCAGGGGATGTCCATTAGACCCAGACATCCAAGGATCCCTTGGGAGTGCTGCGGAGGTTGGTCCCTCCCTCCTCTCCCATCCCCGGCCAGCCTTTATGGTGGCCCATTAAGCCCTGACAGTAATGATGATAGTAATAAGCAGGTAATAATTACCACGGGAGACTCCTGCCTTAACAGCCCAGCCAGGAGGCTAAGGGGGAAAATGTGGGGACCTAGAAGAGCACCCTCAGCTGCGGGGGAGGCACAGCAGCCCGACAGACGCAAAATAAAAACGCAGGAGCATGCCCAGGGGCACGGACACCTGGGTATTAAGGGTCAATAAGAGTTTACATCTGGACACAGTCCTGTTGAGCCTCAGTTTCCCGTCTGTAAAGTCAGGAAGTCATCCGCATTGTAGATCCCAGCCAGAATAAAGTATCCGGTCAAATCGCTTCCAGCAACTGCTGGCAGACGTCCTTTCCAAGCCCCCGTCCTTCTGGGGAAAGCACACCACCGAGGATTAGGGTGAGGTGGGAAGAGTAGCAGGCCCATAGCCCAGGCGAGCCACCCAGCACACCGCTCCACCAGTCTTCTGCCTCCAGTCTGCACAAGGCCCGCCCAGCAAAGAGCTTTGGGGAGGCACTGTAGGCGTAGTGGAACGGGAGGCGCCAGGGAGTTATTTATCTACTCAGGGCCCCATCCCCCTCCGGTCCCCGGAGGCCGGCACCGCCCCCGCCCTCCCAGCCGGGGCCCCTACGTTCGGACACGAGGCGGGGCGTCAGGGCGGACGGACGCCTCCAGGGACGACGTGCCTAAGCGGAGGCGGTGCTGGGGGCTTTGATTGTACACAGCTCTCTCGGGGCGGGGTGGCCAGGCCCGGGCGTGCGGCCCGCCCCCATGACGTCAACCCACAAGCCAGCGCGCTGTTTTCCCGTTTACCGCGTGTCACCCGGGCAACAGAAGTCGGATGGGTGTCGGTAGCTTTTGCCCCGCCCCCCATGCAAATGATCGACGTCACCCGTGCCCAATGGTAAGCAGGGGCAGTGAGCTCATCGTGCCCAGCCGAAGCTATAAGAGAGCGCGTGAATCTCGCAGCCCAGGAACCGCCGCTAGCGGAGGGTCGGGTGCAGCGGGTTGGGGTGGGCGCAAGGCCGAGCGAACGGGGGGTCGCGGGCCCCCCGGGCGGCCGCGGCCACTCCTCCCCCTCCCCCTGGGCCGGCGCGGTGGGGGAGGCGGAGGATGGAAACACCCTTCTACGGCGATGAGGCGCTGAGCGGCCTGGGCGGCGGCGGCAGTGGCACTGGCGGCGGTGGTAGCTTCGCATCCCCGGGTCGCCTGTTTCCCGGGGCGCCCCCGACGGCGGCCGCCGGCAACATGATGAAGAAGGACGCACTGACGCTGAGCCTGAGCGAGCAGGTGGCAGCAGCGCTCAAGCCTACGGCCGCGCCGCCCCCGGGCCCCCTGCGCACCGACGGCGCCCCGGGTGCGGCGCCCCCCGATGGCCTGCTCGCCTCGCCGGACCTAGGGCTGCTCAAGCTCGCCTCGCCAGAACTCGAGCGCCTCATCATCCAGTCCAACGGGCTGGTCACCACCACGCCGACGAGCACGCAGTTCCTCTACCCAAAGGTGGCGGCTAGTGAGGAGCAGGAGTTTGCCGAGGGCTTCGTTAAGGCCCTGGAGGACTTGCACAAGCAAAACCAGCTGGGCGCGGGCGCGGCCTCCGCCGCTGCCGCCGCCGCCGCGGGACCTTCCGGCACGGCTGCGGGCACCGCGCCTCCAGGCGAGCTGGCCCCGGCGGCAGTCACGCCTGAGGCGCCCGTCTATGCTAACCTGAGCAGCTACGCCGGCGGCACCGGGGGTGCGGGGGGCTCTGCGACGGTCGCCTTCGCCGCGGAGCCGGTGCCCTTCCCGCCACCGCCTCCAGGCGCGCTAGGGCCGCCGCGCCTATCCGCGCTTAAGGATGAACCACAGACGGTGCCCGACGTGCCGAGCTTCGGCGAGAGCCCGCCGCTGTCGCCCATCGACATGGACACACAGGAGCGTATTAAGGCGGAACGCAAGCGGCTGCGCAACCGCATCGCTGCCTCCAAGTGCCGCAAGCGCAAGCTGGAGCGCATCTCGCGCCTCGAGGAGAAAGTGAAGACGCTCAAAAGCCAGAACACGGAGCTGGCGTCCACCGCGAGCCTCCTGCGCGAGCAGGTGGCGCAGCTCAAGCAGAAGGTCCTCAGCCACGTCAACAGTGGCTGCCAGCTGCTGCCCCAGCACCAGGTGCCCGCGTACTGAGCCCGCCCGAGGGGCGCATGCGCGGCCCCCCTCTCCGAGGGGCGGGCTCGCGCGTGTGTATGTGGGGATGGGTGGGGGCGCCTGGGACTCGGCCAGGGGGCGGCCCCGGGGGCCCCCCCGTCTCCTGCAAGGGTACCAGGATTTGGAGAGCGCAACCCCTGAGGAACCACCCCTCGCCGAGGGTGCCCTGGACTCGAAGAGGGCGCCTCAGGCTCGACAAGCTGGACCCCCTGCTGCCGGGGGCCGAGCGCATGACTCCCCCACCCTCGCGCTGCCTCTGTCCCCCGCGCGCGGCCACCCAGTGTTGCACAAACCCCTGCGCCCCGGCCGCCCCTTTTGTACACACCGCCGCCGAAGTGGGCTCCTAGGGGACGCAGCCTCAAGCCCTGCGTTTCTTTTTACCTTTTTTTTTTTTTTTTTT